GACCTATTTTTTAAGTACGCTGCACTTTCCACAGCATCCTGCCAATATGCTTTAGAGATATTGCTATCCGAAATCATAAAGCGGGCCTTTTCTATGAAAGATCTGTTCATCCTTTCAGAAACACCGTTCTGCTGGGGACTATATGGAACTGTAGTCTGATGTTGAATCCCTACTGACGCTAGATAATTTGAGAATTCTTTATTATCATACTCAGTCCCATTATCAGACCGCAATATTTTATTTTTTAATCCCGTTTCTCCCTCAACCATAGACTGAAATATACAAAATTTATTCTCTACGTCAACTTTTGAAGGGACAAAATAAATAAATACCATCCTGGAAAAATCATCTATGAATAATAAAGCATATTTATTACCTTAAAGGGAGTTTTGTGACATAGGACCACAGATATCAGAGGGTATCAGTTCTAATTTGGAAGAAGCTTTCTTATAAGTAATTTTCTTAAAAGGTTTTCTCAACTGCTTACCTTCAATACAAGCGATACAGGGTTCCTTATCAACTTCCGCATTATTTATGCCAAGAGCATTGCCTTTTTCAAGTGCGTCCAGCCCTATACGACACAGATAACCTAGACGTTTATGCCAGAGTCTATAATCAGCACAGTCGGAGTGCACATCGAAAGCTATTAGTGTTTGAGGTAGATTTACAGTACAATCTAAAGTGTACAATCTATCACAACTAGAACCGTGTACAAGAAAAATTATCAGAATGATAAAAGTTACAATCATTTTTATCAAAAACAATATTAACATTCCATTCAGTAGCCTTTTAAACAGATATCAGATTAGAATTTAAGTTCGGTATATAAACAACATCTAAAATTTTATTTACACTTGCACCAGTAATAGAAACATTACCAATACCTTCGCAAATTCAATTGGTCTCCGTTAGCAATGGTCACCCTACCCTTTGATAATGGCCTAAGGGTTTCCATTAAGTCGAACCTGGAACACATGTGAATAGAAGCACCTGAGTCAATATACCATTTGTCACCTTTGATGTTGCCACATATATTAAGTGCACTCAACAATGTTGACTCTTTCTTACAAGCTCCATCATTCTTGTTCTTTCTGAGAGGACAATCTGGTCTCTTATGTCCAGGTTCTTTGCATTTATAACATATTACCCGTCTCGTAGCCTTAGACGTGGAAGGCTTTGGCTTCTGACTATAGCGTGTGCTTAAGGCAGACCCATCTTCAGAATTACTTCGTGTAAACTCATTTAATAACTTGTACTTGACTAATTCAGTACTTACTATTATATTGGAATTCTCCATAGCCATGATTAGAGGATTGTAGTGAGGAGTAAGACCTCCTAATAATATGGCAGCCAATGAGACATCTTCGATTGTTTTGCCAATGTCGTCTAAATCCTGCACTGTGGACATGATGGCGTTTATATAACTTTCGACATCATCAAAATCCGCAAGCGAGTTACGATAGAGCTTACGCTCTAGAGCTAACCTGCGTCCCATTCCATTATCTTCGTAGGCAGAAGACAACGCTTCCCAAGCTTCTTTGGGAGATTTGCAGGCTCTTACATGAGTAATTGCTGAACCATCTAATGTTAGACATATCGTTGATAAAGCTAATTCCTTGTCCCTCTCGGTACCTTTATCTTCAATGGTCTTTCAAAGATTTTCATGTTTTAAATACATTCTTATCTTAAACTTCCATGTCCAATAACCATCGCAACTATTCAGGACTTTGATCTAACGATGAAAGTGAAGATGAAGTACTACTATCCGCATCACCGCCAATCATCTCTGAAACTTATATGTTTTCGCTTACCCTATTTAGGTTTACTAGGTCAAAACAGAGCTTCGTGCTGATAACGTTTTGAAGTAAAATTAAATAATATGTATCTTGTGATGACAGTGATGTTTTATTTATACAATCTTTCAAAAAACTAACAAACAATTATAACAATTTTGATTATACAGGTCTGCACTTACAACAGGATCGAATAAATTTTTTTGCGATATAATTAAAACAATTTTTTTAACCCCCGAAGTGAAATCAAATTAATCAAATAATTTATTAAAACTCTGCCCCGCTAATTATTCGAACCCTCAATATTCATGTTAGACTCATGCTGCCTTACCAACTAGGCCATAGGGATGTTAGATATATAGAATCCGAATTATTAATTTGAATATTAGATTCGAATTTATTTCGGTGACGGAATATTGACAATTTCTCAATGAATCACTTCCAAGGAAATATGCCGGAAAAAAATCCGTCTCTTGGGAAATTTAAGAATATTCTATTACCGAGTTAGATTCGAATCTAATAATCAAATTAACAATTCGGAATATAAACAGCTAATGTCCTATTGACCGAGTTGGTAAAGTAGTGTGCGTAGAACGCGAATATGAAGGGTTCGAATCCTTCTCGGGATATGTTTTTCCAATATGTTTTTACCATAGATATATAACCAAGACAGATAGGATTATTTACAAAATTTTTGAAGAATGAACGGTGGTGTCCGCGGTAGAAACTCAATAATCGGATTGAACATTGATGCCAAGTTTACGTGCTTTTAACTATAGATATATATAACCAATACAGATTACACAATTTCTGAAGTCAACGCGGATGATCCTCGACAGAAATGCAATATTTGGATAAAATTAAAATATTGATGCCAAGTTTGCGATGTTTTTACCTGTAGTAATGTTATTGCGTTTGCTTGAATTACTGTTAGGTCTTTAAATTGTCCAAAAAAAAATAATGTCTGACAACAGCGGAAGTTGAGTAGACCGCAATTGTGGAGGGTCGTATATTGTTTCATTCATAAAAATTCCTTCGATACAGTACTAGTCCAGGAGCCAGTAAATTTTTTCGTACTTGTTTTCCCGGTCCGTGTATATTTAAATAATGTATTCCCGGTGAACTGTATATTTAAAATGGAACGCCAATCTATTAACAAAAGTAAGCCAAATTGAATTCGCGCATTACGTCACATCGATACAAGTGAGATTGTTTACAAAGTGCCTTTGCAGGCCTATTTTGCCCATTTCATGTATTTGTTTTTAAATCATGTTAAATTACTATTTTTGAAACTCAACAAGGAGAAAATCCAATTAACTCTTCCGTTGTGTATATATATATATATATAAGATAAAGTAACTGAAGTTTTATTAGTAAAGTATTAATACTAAAATTTTAATGTAATTTACAGAAAATAGCTAGATATGTATTCGTTTTTAAATAATTTGATAATTTATGAAAAAAGTGAGTAAAAGTGGAATGACCATTGGCCAGTAGGTCAGTTAATACAAAGTATCATATATTTCTATTATAACATAACTAAAATACCTACATCTTTTAATCATAAGGACATAAGTTAAAAACCATTTTAATATATGCATTAGAATGAAGTAATAATAACTTAAAGAGACGAGGTCTTAAAGTAATAGCTGGTACAGCATGTTTTTTAAACGTTTCCTCATTGCTGCTAGAATGAAATCACTTACTATGAAATGTGCTCTAAAAACGGCATTTACAGCAGTCAGTGTTCAGTCTTAGGATCTCTTCCTAAAGCCCTCATCCAAGCTGCATACATATTAAAAAATAATTAAAAAAAAAACATATTATATACCTATATAGTTTTCGGTTCTGGGTGCCCTAAAAGAGGACACCGACAATTTGGCTCAGATAGCTAAAACCCAAAAGTCACACCCCGAACCAGGACGTATTGCTATCCTTTTAAGTAAAAAATAACTACAAATAACTTACCTAAAAAATGAAGGCGTCTAACTTTACACCAAAAAAACCATACACTTTTTCCCATTGTTACAAGCACCCGATGACGATTAGGTAGATATCAACTAGAAGCATGTACTTAATGGTTATAAAGCTTATTTTAACACAAAAAGAATAAAGCACTAGTCGAAAAGCAGCAATCAAATATAAATAGACCACAATATTAAAATTCAAATTAAAAACTATATAAAAGACAAATACTCTAAAAGCGCAAAAGATCAGAACCAAATAAAATGAATAACCATAATAACCTAAAAATCACACTAAAATTGCAAAAACTATTACTGTAAAATCATGAGATTACATCAATAATGCATATGCGTCGGAGTATCGCAAATGTCAAAAGTACAGTGTTTCCATGAAAATTTAGCTATGTTTTTAGCAGTATTATAGAACCATTTCTACCACGCGCATCCAACGATATTGGCGTTCCACAGTTCACTGTATTTTCCTCACACCTCTGGTATAAATGATTTGACATAACGAAACTAACAATAATTATAATTAATGTAGAGTAATAAGTGATTCGTGAATTCTAAATAAAACAATTATTATTATATAAAAGTGTAAAAGGAAATGTAATTTATTTCCCTATTTTCTTCTGTAATATCTTCAATTATTATGTTTAATTTCTATAAATAAACCAACTGGTTAGGTGAAACATTGTGATATAAGATTTTATTTATGTGTCCTATGCGTACACTTTAATATACAAAACACCTGGAACATTCTTTAAATAATTGTGGTCGTAGAAATAATTGTGTAAATAACTCGTTTGAAAGTGTATTTTATGCACTTGCCAAATATATTATCCATACAGATTAATCAGACTATTTTTTTACTTAACTTCAGTACATCTCTTACTACTAAAACTATTTTTATCAATGGAAAAAAGGGCCGTGTTCTCGTATATTTTGACGCATTTTCGGCCTCAGCCCATTGGATCCCCCCTCTAAATATATATGAATTTTGCTTAGAATTGCTAATCCTACAATTCTCTATTCGTGCTTGCTGACTGGGAAAATAAATACCGAAAATCGTCACTGTCTCCTGGACTATACAATAGATGATGATGAGAACTTCACAACAAATACACTTTTATGAATGGCTAGTTGGGGATGTGGTTTTTACTTCGTGTGTTAAAAAATAAAATTTCTATAAATTAAAATAGGAATACCACTCATATTAATAATATTAATATATTATTTACAGCATTTAGTGAGCGGTTGGTTCTACGACTATAGTATCAAGTGTCAACCTGTCGATTATTCAACAAATTCGAAGGCTTTAAGGGTAAGTGTTACCAATTGCTTGTTATAAAGGAATTACTATACAAATCGTTTACACATTTTCTACAATTATTCAAAAAATTGTGTTAAAAGAACACTAAAATTGTCATTTAAAATAATAATAAAACAGAAAATATTAACGATTATTATCTATGAATTAAGAATATTATTAGTTTAAAATTAAAATAATTTTTTGTTGTCTATTGTGGAAATCAGTTTGTTTTAACATTACCAAAAACATATACTTTTCATTAATATTGAGTTAACGATACTTTTTATTGTCATACAATTTTTGTGTATATTCATTCATTTTCTTTGCTTATGTAATAATCAATTAATTTTCTCTACATTATTAATTAATAAAAATGTTTTTATGCGTTGTTTTAAAATTCCAACAATAAATAATATTCTTAAGAACATAAAATGTCATTGTTATTTTTATATTGTCATTTTCTTCTGTTGAAACAAGTTTTTCTTTTTTTAAAGAAAAAAAAAAAACAGTATGGCAAGTACTGTAATACTAAAAAAAACTAATAATTTTCTATAATCCCAGAAAATTAAAATAAATCGAACTATCAATATGTAATATTGACGATCGTTTCGATTAAATCTTTAATGGTTTCTTCCTGTTAATAATTCTGCAAGATATTAAAATAACCGAAAGTAACCAAATATATTTTCTGACGATTTTTTCTGGAAAAACTTCCTATTGGCAATATTTTCTGAAAAAAAAAAAAGAATGTTTAACCAAAATTGCTTAAAACAAGTAGATTTTTATTCCAAGGGGGGCACTTTTCTATTATAGTCTCTTATTCTATTATTTACTGGATTCTTTAAAACTTTTTATTTGTACAAAATATAAGAACTGAATTAAAAACTGATCAATTAGAATTAGAGTAACGAAGCGAATATGTGGAAAAAGAATTATCCGAATCTAATATATAAGATAAATCTTGTTGTCAAATAACATTACTTATTGAAAAAATTTAATTTAAACTAGAATGAAAATATATAATGCTTGACATTCTATATTATACTTTTCACAGTATTTTTTCTCCTGGGCTCGTCTGGCTATGTCTCTGAATAACACTAAAGCCTATTGTCTTGTTGAGTTTTACCTCATATTAGTTCACAGCACCCACCTTGTCACCTTTGTACAAGTTTGTACAGATCCTTGGGTGAGTGGTTTCTATACGTTGTTAGATTAACCTGGGGTTGTCCAAAAAGTGCCTGTCTTTTACGATCTAGAACTTCGCATTCGCACAGTATGTGTTTGGCCGTTTCTCGTTTCTTGTGACATAGTCGGCACATGAGTTCCCCATTGTACATGCCAATATTTTTCAAGTGTCCCTTTACTGAAGCGTGCCCAGTCAGGAATCCTGTTATCACTTTCAACTGATTCCTATTCATAAAGAGTAGTTCTCGTTTTTTTGGGACAGCGTCTGCCTATGAAAGCTTTTTCATGTGCCTGTTTTGGGGTGCTTCCCCAATAATTAATATATTGTTCCCGAATCCAGTCGTTTGTAAAACCCCGGACTGTACTTTTTGATACTCCTTGGTTTGTGCCTGGTTCCGGTGTTTCTTCTGGCCCTATTTTTGCAAGTTCGTCAGCCTTTTCGTTGCCTTCGGTACCTTTGTGATCTGGCACCCAAAATAGTTTTACTCTATTTGGTCTGCCAGTGTTCTAAGTTCTTCGATGTATTCACATACCAGCCTTGTCGTAACTCGATATGGCCTTAAGTGCCGCTTAACTGACTGACATTATTTGAATAGGCTGATTTTCGACAGCTCTTTCATTGTTCGTTTTTGCACATTGCAAAATTGCGTATACCTCGGCCTGAAATACCAGGGAATGTATTCCTATAGCATAGCTATGGTTAGTATCAGGGTTTTTGGAGAATACTCCCGCCCCAGTGCCTTCCGCAGTCTTAGACCCGTCTGTATACCAGGTTTGTTCCTGTCGTTGGGCATTGCGTTCCCTTATGGTAATCTCCACTCTTTCCTGTATTAAAACCTGAAATGGAGTATTAAAAGAGTACCTCTTGGTTATGTGGTCTGATCTCCTGTCTAGCACTTCTCCTGTCACTAACCTTGAAATTCTCATGTGACCTGGCCTAATGTCAAGATTTCCCAATGTATTCCCTAATCTGTAAGAACGTAATCTTGCCTCTCCTTGTATCATATAGTGAAGAGGTGGGAGTCCTATATGTGCTTCCATTGCAGCTGTGGTGGTTGTTTTCATTGCCCCCGTTATTCCAAGGTAGGCAAGTCTTTGTACCTTGTTTAGCCTCGTTATTGCTTTCCTTTGCTATGTGTTTGTCCACCACAACAAAGCTGCGTATGTTATTATCGATCTCACCACCATGTTATAAAGCCAATATACCATGTCTGGTTTTAACCCCCATTTTTTCCCAAATGTCGCCTTGCATTCATTCCACTCTCCTTGTTGTTTTTTCTAGATGGATGCTGGTTCCAGATAAGTCTCGAGTCAATCATAACCCCGAGATATTTTACCTCCCCCTTAATCTGGATGCTTGCACCTCTTAGGTTTGGAGGCCCTAGTCCCTCCAATTTCCTTCATTATCCGCCTCTGTCTATTTTGTTATTATATTTCGAGCCTTTTGCATTCGATCTCTTACTATAGTGTTGTATTTTCCATGTGCCATGATCACTAGATCGTCGGCATATCCCAGGTTTCTATGTCCCTTATCTTTGAGAGCCCTA